ATAAATTTTTTATGTGTCAAAAAATATATTTCATATTTTTAATAAAAAAGGATTTGTGTTAATCTTGAGGCGATTGTCACAATTTACAAAATACATTTAAGTAAGAAAGAAAAATCATCAAGAACATTAATTTCTGCAAACTTATAATCAATTTGGCTGGCTTCACAAAACAAACACAATGAAATCGAAGTCGTTCCAATCTAAGTCAAATCAAAGCAGATCGAGTCATTAAGTTGTTATTGAAAGTTGCTAACACTCAATTAAAATATCAAATATATTTCAAATCTGATAAGCTTATAATCAAATCAAGCATCTTGACGAGTCAAATTGAACGAGCTCAATATCACTCAATTATGACATCATTAAGTTATTCAATATTCATAAAACATTGTTTAATCGAGGGAATCTCTGGGTCCTCACATAGAGTGGCTTGGATTCTTTTCTTATTTGTTGGGTGGCCTCTCTTAGACTTTACAAATAGAGTCTTGTTCTATTCTTGAGAAGGAACCTAAACCTTGAACCATAGGAAAATCGAAGTTTGGAAGAGAATGAGCTAAGGTCTAATATTTTATATCGAAGGTTCAACGAACTTCACCAGCTCCTGCAATCATTGACCACTGTTGACCATAGCTCGTCGACCACCCCCTACTTGTTTCAACGAAATCCCTGACATAATCTCAATGTACGTAGTGGAGTAGCAAAGCACCATACAGAGCAACATGACATCTTAACACTGTGAAGCGACGCATCTCGAAGAAGGTGTATTGAAGTTCCAGTAACTACTCCCAGCTACAATCACTCTAGATTGTTGTGCAGCAAATCTTGTTCCTCGAGGAATTGTATAGTTTTTCCAGCCTTGTAGGACAAGTGCATGTAATCACAAATTCACAGTGAAAGGTTTTGACTGGGCTAGGCTCTGTAGTTTTTTTCTTTATTTGTTTTCCACTTAAAAATTATTGGTGTCTCTACTTGTCTCTTTAATTACATAAGTGTGTGCTAAATTTACGTCAGTATAATAAATAATCACTCTATCCTTGTGAATCTTCTAATACACACCAATTTGGCATCATATGTGAAAAAAGCAATCCCACCACTGAGGGAATTACGATACTTGTTGAATGACTACTAAACACAACACTAATTAATTGAGCATCTCGCCTCAACGCCCATTATTCCAATGGAAAATCATGAAGCTAATGACATCAAGCTTTTGTAGCCTCCTGCCCCGAAAGATGTTATCATGCTGGTGAAGACAACTTGTTTCTCTCTTTATAGGATGAATTGCATATGATGGAGGAGTCTCAAAGTTCTTTAAGCTCCTATGAGAGACCTATTAACTGACGCATACACAGCTAGATGGAGCTTACTTACCACCAGTTCAGCAACCAATAGGAAAATGTCTTGCTCGAGCACACTCATATCACACTCTCTCTTAATGATGGAACTTGTCCTATGCAGGACACCAACCTCCTTGATATTGCGAGTTTCACTCATCTATCCTGCACGGCTAGACCTATAGGTAATCCTCTAGCTTTCACGGGAAACTTAACCACAGGTTTCTTCCTCATAGATTATCCTAAAGTCATTGTAATAGTGTCATTACATGGCCCCTATTGTCTTTAGAGATGAGCATTGTTTATGTAGACCACGTCTTCATTGTATTAACTTTGTGTAAGAATTATTATTGTACAACTTACTCAAATATATGTATGTATTTTATTGGTGATATTATTCAAGTATGTTTTTTGTTAATGCGATTGTCAATAAAGTCGGCTTAGATTTGTTTTAGTTTATTTAATATTTAATATTTTTTTTGTTAGTTGAAATGGTTTAATAAAAATTGTTTAGATTTAATCTTTTACTCTTATCAATTAGTTAATACATAAAAAAATTTGAGCTGTAGATGTTTTTATATTTTCATTAATATTTCATTCTAAATTAATGTTTTATTGAATAAACCTAATTGAAATTAACTAAACATTTGCTTGAATTGAGCTTCTAAATGAGCATAGCTCGAGCCTCGCTAACGAGCTGAGCTCGAGCCAAATTTATTGTTCTCGAGCTGAGCTCGAGCTAAATATTCAAGCTTAATTTAAGCTTGAGCTAGAGCCCCTTTTTAACCATGGGAGCTAAGCTCGAGTCTGTTGTGGCTTGAACTTGACTCAACTAAGTTACACCCCAGGTCTACACGTAAATAAGTTAAGTTTAGACGTTACACATGTAAATACATTGGAATCATAAGGTATGAATGTAAAATCCTTTATCATTTATGTTTTTTCTCTAATCTCCCAACAGAAAAATGAAAGGATGATACTGTTAAATCCAAATCTGTCACAGAGACACGCCAAAGAAATAGAGCGTTGAATGATGGGAGAGAGAGAAAAAAAGGAGAGCAATCACATAGTTATAAATAGTAAATTTGCACAACTTTTATTCATGAAATGGACCATTGCTTATATGAATGGGTCATCGTGCACCGCTAAAGTATGTAGATACTTTTGTGGTATACATATAAAATAGAAGAACGATCTTCGACGATGAAACAAAAAATTGAACATGAAAATTCACACCAGAAAACAGTAACACAGCGGAACACAAAGATTTACGTGGTTCGACAAATTACCTACGTCCATGGAGTTGCAGGGGATTTCTTGAGGAATTTACACCAGTCGATCGTCTCGACTTACAAGAGGAATCTCTCACTTCCTTGCTCTCTATTCTTTCCTCTCTACACCGAGATACACCGAAGAAGAAAAACTTACAAGAGAAATAAACCTAATTTCTCTTATGCCACAAGCCATCAAGAAGAAGCCAAGAGAGAACAATCTTCTTCTTCTTCTTTCTTCTTCCTTCTGCAAAGCACGCACACACACACTGCTTTCACTTCTCTTCCTTTATCCCAAGGAAGTCTGAAAAAGAACACAAAAAAGGTCGTCCTTACTAAAGCTGAAGGAGAGCCGCTCCTTTTATCGTGAAATAGCAGGGAGTGAAGGGATGCTTCGCTTCGCGGTAGAGGAAGGACGGCGTGGTTGGCGCTGTTCACGAATTGACACCAGGCGGGAACAGGAGTCCGGGTCGCGATGTTTCATGATCGCGGAAGAGTGAGAGCGGGAGCGGTCGGACCGGGTTTTGGGCTCCAAAACTCAACAAATCTCCCACTTGGAGACAAGTACACAGGCATCAACATCTCCTTCCTCAAATTGATATCTTCTACTGGCAGCATCGCCTTTTTCTTCAAACAAAAATTCGCCAACTCTGCAACTCAAAGCCCTCGTCTTCACACCAGAAGACCAATTGAAGTTGTGGACAACTTTTAGTTTCTCAAAAGCAACACCCTCAATCAACATATCAACAAAGTCCACATAGTCTCGCACCTCCAATATATTTCCTAGGTTACTCTTATCTCTGTTTACAACTCCCACTGCTCGGACAATATCATGTCTTTGTTTAAAGCCTTTTTCATCAAGTCTGGCCTTGTTCCTCTTACTGTCATCAAGCTCAGTTTTTACCAGATACACCCACTTGTTGTATAATGCATTCTTCCATGGTGGAAGTTCTATCAGCTCCCACTTGCTTGAACTTTCATCTTGCAAGATTTTTTTATTACTTTGCGGTTCTCCACCATCTATCTGCGGAATAATGAGAATGGGTGCCCCGAACCCACTCTGCTCTTCACTTTCATCATCAACAAAATTATGAACTGTCAGCAATAGTATAATGTCTTCTTCCCTGGTGGAAGTTTTGTCAGCTGCCACTTGCTTGAACTTTCATCCTGCAAGATTTTTTTATTGTTCTGCGATTCTCCACCATCTGTCTGCGGAATAATAGAAATGGGTGCCCCATACCCACTCTGCTCTTCACTTCCATCATCAACAAAATTATGAACTGTCAGCAATAGTGCATCTTGTACTTCTTCATACACCACATTTGTTCTATCATTCTTCTTCTTCTTGGGATTTTTGCAGTTCCTCTTTATGTGGTCAGTCTTGCCACAATTCCAGCAAGTTTCTTGCTGACCAGACATTGATTTTGATCTCCCAATATTTGAGTTCTTGTCCTGTCATCTCCCTCTGAAATTAACATTCAGTGTCAAACTCGAACCTGAGATCTCGCCAGAATCTTTCTTATGCACATCCTCAGACAAAATCAAATCACGAATATCATCACATTTCAATTTAGATTTACCCGCAGAACTGCTAACTGCCATCATCATGGCTTCCTAACTATTTATCAATGATGCCAACAATATCAGCGCACGTATCTCATCATCAAAATCAATTTCAAGAAACGACAATTTATTTTCGATAGTAATAAAATCATTCATGTGTTGAGCAACATAAACACCTTTTGTCATCTTCAAGTTGATTAACTTCTTCATCAAGTATACCTTGTTATTCGCCGATGACTTTTCATACATATCTGGTAAGGTTGTCATGAGATCTACAGTCGTCCTCTCCTTGACGTTGTGTGCAACGAACCTCGATAGGGTCAATCGGATAACCCCCAGAACTTGTCGATCCAACAAATTTCATTCAGTCTCATCCATCCTTTCAGGTCTTTTCCCCAATAACAGAAGTTGAAGTTTATTCCCATAGAGGTAGTCCACCTTTTGCATTCTCCAGTAATCAAAATCTATGTCATCAAACTTCTCGATCTCTGAAACCTTCACTTCATTTGTAGTCATCATCTTTCCTCAGATCCAAAGCCACCAGCTTTGATACGAGTTGTTGTGGTAACACAGTGGAACACACATATTTACGTGGTTCGATAAACTGTATACGTCGATCATCTCGACTTACAAAAAAAATCTCTCGTTTTCTTGCTCTCTTCTTCTTTCTCTACACCGAGATACACTGATGAAGATAAACTTACAAGAGAAATAAACTCAATTTCTCTTTTGCCACAAGCCACCAAGAAGAAGTCAAGGAAGAACAATATTTTTCTTATTCTTTCTTTTTCCTTCTGCAAAGCACACACATACTCTGCTTTCACTTCTTTTTCTTTATCTTGAGGAAGCCTGAAGAAGAACACGAAAAAGGTCGTGCTTACTAAATCTGAAGGAGAGCCGCTCCTTTTATTGTAAAATAACAGGAAGTGAAGGAATGCTTCGCTTCACGGCGGAGGAATGCAGGAACGGTTGGTGTCGTTCGCGAATCGACGTCAGGCGAGAATGGGAGTTGGGGTCGCGACCTTTCGTGATCAAGAACAGGAGCGGGATCGCGATGTTTCACGATCGGGAGAGCGAGAGCGGGAGTGGTCGAATCGGGCTCCAAAACTCAACAGATACGACGATGGTATTTTAGTCCATGCATAAACATGACCGTGGAGCCCATGGATATGATCTGATGACCATGAGGCCAGTGAGTCAGTGAGGCCGAGCGATTGTGTGGTGGGGCGGCCATCAAGCCGTCGAACATCTGTTGGGCCAGACAACCATCAAGTCGGGAGTCCATTAGGGTTTAGGGTTTAGGGTTTAGGGAGGCTTTGAGATCGGGCGAATATCAAGCCGAACAGCTGTGAGGCCGGGCTACGACTTGCTGAGGGTCCACGCAAGTGCTCAGAAACCGGATGATCTACTTCACTTTTTAGGCCTATGTGGGTTGGAAGGCGCAAAGTTCATCCAAGTGGAACCTGCCACACACCCCCTAAGCCGCGCTTATCTGGTTTTAAACGGCCATGGAGTCCCTAGCCACCAGTACAACGCAGCTCCCCCCGCCGGAAGCTGCAGGAAAGATGAAAAGCTATCAGACAATGAAGAAAATGGCTTCAAATGTACCTAGATTTCATCATTTCAATTCTTCATCCCCTTCAACTCTCATAACCCCTCACCAAAACTCCGAATAACTCGAGATGATCCTTCCAGCCATTAATCACCACATTCATAGCTCCAATCTTCTCTGCTCCCGCAGTCTCTCCACCCTCTCCGGCCACCGCCGCATTCCTCTCCCCACCACTCCTTTCCAGTTCCAACGCCATCAAGCCGATGAAGAGAACCCCTACGACTTAATTCGCGAGGATCCTATACAAGTCTGCTCCGATCTCTGGGTCCGCTCCTTCTCCCGCTCCCACCTCCAGCCCTCTTTTACCAACCTCACCGGCTTCCTAAAAAAGTTCGATCTCTGGATCTTGGCTTACCAGCGCTCCTGCGCTCATCAAACCGGCTCCTTTCCTCCAAAAAACGCCATCCACGTCTCTGAGCTTCGCTCCCTTCTAGCTCTAAGTCGCTCTGTGCTCTCCGGCCGTCATCCGTGGGGCGCCGCCACCCACCTCATCCTACGCTCGCCAAACGATCCCCCTTCTACACATCGAATTTCGAAGCGCAAATTCCTCGCTCTCCTCGAATCCTCTCCTCCTCCTTTCCAAGACCACGTACTCCAGGAACTTCTGCTCCTTCTGCTCGAGCCAGTTTTTGAACCCCGGTTCTCCCCAAAGTCGCACGCTTTTCGCGCTGGCCGCTCTCCCCACACTGTCATTCGCACCATTCGATCCAACTTTGCAGGATACCTTTGGTTCCTCAAGGTCGACCTCACTGATATCGCTGATGATTTTACTCCGGAGGTTATTGTGTCTTGCTTGGAGAAGGCGGTTACTGATCGGAAAGTAGTCGGTCTGGTCAAATCGGCTCTCAGAACTCCTGTCAAGGTAGTTTCTAAAGAAGACGACAAGGTGCTCGACAAATTGACTAAAAGAAGGATGAAGCGAAAGATACTTAGGAAGAGCAGGAAAAAGAAAGTCCTGAATGAAAATGAACCCAAACCAGATCCTTACTGGCTCAGAACTTTCTTCAGCTTTGCTCCCGAAGAGGCTGACTGGGTTCCTATCTATGGCCATTGTGGTATCCTAAGCCCCTTGCTTGCCAACATTTGCTTAAATGAGCTGGATAACTGGATGGAAGATAGAATACTGAATTATTTTCAGCCTTCCAAGCTTGATTCCATATGGAAGAACTCTATAGACGATGGCTCCCACAACCCAGCCTGGCCTGAGTTTGTGCCCTCAAGCGGGCCAGAGAAGACGAGGAGAATGAACTATGTGAGATATGGTTCACATATCTTAGTTGGTATTCGAGGACCAAGGGAGGATGCAGTTCAGTTAAGAAAGGATTTGATCCAGTTTTGTGAGAAAACATACAGTTTGCAGCTGAAAAATTCAAAAACAGAAATTGAGCACATTACAAGAGGAATTCAGTTCTTAGATCATGTAATTAGCAGGCGAGTAATTCACCCAACGCTGCGTTATACAGCTACCGGCGGACACCTCGTAAGCAAAAAAGGTGTTGGAACATTGCTCTCTATCACTGCAAGCTTGAATATGTGCATCAGAAAGTTCAGAAAGCTTGGGCTTGTCAAAGGGGATAAGGATCCAGAGCCACTCCCTTGCATTCCAATGCTTTATTCAGGCCAAGCTCATACTAATTCTCAGATGAATAAGTTACTGGAAACCATGGCTGATTGGTATAAATATGCAGATAATCGAAAGAAAATAGTGGGATTCTGTGCATATGTCATAAGAAGTTCTGTTGCTAAGCTTTATGCTGCAAGGTACAGGTTGAAATCTCGAGCCAAAGTGTATAAAATTGCTTCACGCGATCTTAGCCGTCCGCTGAGGGAGAGCACAAGAAATGCCTCGCCGGAATATTCTGATCTTATAAGAATGGGACTTATTGATGCCATTGAAGGTGTGCAGTTTTCACATATGTCACTGATTCCATCGTGTGATTATACACCATTGCCTACAAATTGGGTGCCTGATCATGAATTAGTGATTCGGGAGTACCTTAAGCTTCAAGATCCTAAGTCCTTTTGTAAGCTGAGAAAGTTTGTAAAATGTGAGGAATTGGGTGTGCCTCAGGAGGATGTATCGAAGATTGTTTGGAACTTTAAGGTTTGTGGAGTTTTTGGTAGGGAGAACCATGTATATGATAAGCAATTTGTTAACTCCGCCGAAACTTCAACATGTGGTAAGCTTTTGGTCAATTGACTATAGTTTAGATGCTTTTGCCAGCTTGTTAAGTGGAATAGCACTGACTTTAATCTTAACTGAATTCACTTAAACTTGGAGATTTGAGGTGTTCAATAAATTTTCGTGGCTACAGGTAGAGAAGAAGGAATTTTTGCGTGAAAACTTTTTTCAGCTTTTGAGTATGAGACAGTAAAAATGGAAGTCGCAGTGTGGTTTCGATCACTCATGATTTCGGTGATGGAGGAAACACAGATCGCACAGTCTGCTTGTGGATAGGTAAGAGAACAGTGGAGATAGAAGTGATTTTGTAAGATAAAAACAGAGAACGATAACTTATGATTTTGAACTGTCGAAGATGAATGCTCTTGTGAATTTCTTCTTTTTCTTATTTTTATTTTTAAACATACGGTCAACAATTACTATTCAAATTATCATCCCTTCTACATTAGTTCTCCTGGTTATAGAAGGGTATTTTCTTCTATAAAATATACATATGATGAGATATTTAGGGATCTCTGGCTACTTATACTTACAGTGTTCCATCGCGAGAGTATATACAATATTATCTGTGGTGTGTTATCTTCTATCAGCATCACATTTCACAGTTTATCCTCTACATACTTCGTCGGGTCACATCTCTCGGCTTATTTGGCCCTTTGCTTTAGAATGCAATTTGAGGCTAGCTCGCCTCTGGAGCAGATAAATTGTTCTTCTACAGGAGGACTGAGGATGATAGAGAAACCTTTGGTGAGTTGACGAGATCTTCGGATGGATCCTTTTACGATTCACCTTACAAGAAAGATATCCGTCAAGTGGTCTCTCTTAGCCAGCTACTCGTACTCAATTGTTCGTTGAATTGGGTCTTTGATGGATTGTGTCGAAAGAGCCACTAAGCCTGCTAGAACTCTTACTAGCTCAATACAACTGCTTCTTGTCATGCAATTGGGCTGCAGAGTCTTTTGGTGAGTATTTTGGTCAGTTGATTCCTTGGAGGCACATATAGATTGCAAATTATGCACTTTTTCAGTTACTCTTTTATGAAGTGCCCATCAATTTTAACATCCTTGATATGATGACATTGTATTGGATTGTGTACAATACCGATAACTTATTTGTTAACACAATATGTTTCTTGGACTATTTCCACTTAATTTTTAAATATTATAATATGATTTTGATTCATAGAAGCTCACAGATCTCTTTGCAATGACTTTAAACATTCAACACTTGATCTTGAAAGCAAAGGCTTTTTTTTTTTCCCTACTTTTTCAAGCTATGAGGTTTCCCTGTAAGAGTGATCGAGTGAGTGTGCGTGTATTTTATTTCCAAGGAGTACGTTGATCCTGAATATCCGTGATAGGGTTGGCGTAGCTCCCGTGACGGACAAAATTATTGAAAGTCGTCTTAGATGGTTTGGTCACATTAAACGTCGATCATCTAATGATTCTATTAGAATAGTAGATGTTTTAGATTCAACTTGTGTTTAGAAAGGCAGAGGTAGACCTAGGAAGACTTGGGCTTATTGTATAAAAAGTGATCTTAATTTACTAGAACTAAATGAAAATATGACACTAAATAGGACACAATGTAGAAAAAGGATTCATGTAGCCGACCTCATGTAGTGGGATTAAGGCTTTGTTGTTGTTGTTGTTGTTGTTGTTGTTGAGTACGTTGATCCACATGATATAGCATGCCTTCAATTTTATTCTGTTTAGGTAACTTCTCATAATAAGCTTATGATGAAACGTTCATCACAACTTCTGATAGTTATTTCTTCTCCAAATCATTCATAACAAAATATGAGTTGGAGATTGTGATGGAGAAGTTGTAAATTTTTGCCAATTGAATTTTTTCTATCATTGCTTACAATTGATTTTCTATTGAAAACATACCATCAATAAATTTATGATTGATAACTTTTACTTGAATAAAATTTATATTTCTAATTTTCAATCTTATGAGTATAAGTTGGAGTGTGATTCCTTTAGTGTGGCAGAAGAGAAACTATCAAATTCTGACGAAAAATGACCCCTTATATCCAGGTGAGGTCTAATTTCTTCTTATTTTGATATCTTTGCTCTTGCTCTGGTTTAGTCGATGTAATTAGATATTGTCTATTTAGACTATATAATTAGATGTTTTTTTTGCATATTGCTCCTTTAAATTTGGCATAACTAAAATCATGATTGTGATAAATGAATTTTAAGTGCTTGTTAATTTTATGTGGTTCAAATTTTTTCTGACTTCTTCCTATTTACTTAAAGCTGTCATTTGTGTTATAAAATTGAATGTTTTTAATATTTTTAATGCATGATTTAACTAAGTTGAAGCCGGCATACTATTTATTGGCATACTCTTATGAGGTCATAATGATAAACCTGTGGCTTATATTAAGTTAAAATTATTTAAGCTCAGAGGAGCATATTAACCTATGGCTTGTTTGACATCATTTTTTTTTGTGTTTTTAAAAACATATTTATTTAATTTGTTTTTATATGTTATCATTTTTTGTTCTTAAAAATAAATTAAAATATTTTTAAAAATATTCAATCATTTTTAAGTGTTTTGAACCTTTTTTTTAAATAATCATTCTTTAATCAAATAACCAAATATATTTTATTTCAAATCAAAATAAAATAAATAAATAAAAAATAAAAAACGGCCCTTCAGCATTCATCAAGCGCTCTACCTCAAATTCATAGTATCTTTCTTCAAAGCATTTGCAATGTTGATTAAATAAACCTATTTAGTACACCTAAACAAAATATTTGCCTCAAATTCCTTAATCTTTTGTTCCCATCAAAAGAACAAATACTCCACAATATATTCTCCCTATTTATTCCTCACCGCAAGCTAGTTAAACAAAGGTTGATCAGTGAACCTATGGTCCACAACCTAACAAGTTAATGCCTGGTAGGACAACACTGATGGAATGAGTTGGGAGAAGTTATTACCTCACTTAATTGTAAGCATTCAATTCCTATTAGTATTAATAAATGGTTAAATAGAAATTGTTAAAATAACCTCCTGACTATTTTTAGGGGTCATTTTAGTCCCAGAGTTTTTTAAAATGACAATTTAGTCTATAGACTCTTTTAATATGAGTTTAAATAGTCCATCACGAAGATTATTTCAGCTTTTATTAAAAGTGTTTGCCGACTAATTTAGTACTTTGGTAAAGCCTTGGACTAAAATGATCTCATCTAAATAGTTAGGGGACTATTTTTACACTTTTTTCAATGGCCACTATGGATTACTTTTTGTTTTCTATTTTTGTTTTTGTTTTTTGTTTGTTTTATTTTTATTTTGTTTTATATTTTCTGTTTTTAAAAAATATCTTTGACATTGCTATAATTTATTTGTTTTTAAAAACAAAAAATAGTAAAACATGTTTTGTTGAGTTTTTTTTTTAAGACAAATTTATATTTATTATAAAACAGTTTGATCCGCGTGCGCTCCAATGTTATGTTCTGTCATCCATGGCGTATACAACGTCTTTTTTGTTCCACTCAGCACAAAACATTACCTGTGAGCAGGTAGGCAGCGGGCGGTGGTTGGGGCTGAGTGGCATTGGGCGCAGGTGGCGGATGCAGATGGCAGGGGCCTGCGACTGTGGCGAGCAGGGCCGCCAATGGGGGGCGGCAATGGTAGGGGGCGGGCGGGTGGCGGGCGGAGACTGACGATTCGAGTGCTGCGAGAGGCGGTCGGCGGAGCCTCACACATGTAATGTTTTGAAAAACATATTTCTAAAACAACAAAAACATAATTTATGTGTTTTTGATGTTTTGAAAATAAACCTTATGTGTTTTAAAAACAAATTTAATAAATGAAATAAAAACGAATAAACAAACACTATTTTTTTTGTTTTCAAAAACAAAAAATAGAAAATGGAAAGGGATCCAAATATAGCTAAATGATTGATTTATGCCCATGACTTAAAGTAACCCAACAAAATTGGTGAGGCTCACAAAATGGCACTTTATAAGAAGAAAGTTTTGGATTGTTGGGGAAAAAAAATTAAATGCGGAAATATGGAATACCGATTCGATTCGAGAGATCCGAAGCAGAACTTAAAGAAGAAGCACACAAAGTAGAAATACACAATATCACCAAGATTTAACTTGAAATAAATCTAAGAACGGGGAAAAATTACGAAAGCACGCTATATCAAGAAATCCACTATGAAGAAATTAGAAGAAACGTACAGATTATGCCACAGTAAAGCCTTTCACACATCATCTCTCTTTCGCACGAGAAATCAATGAAACTTTCCTTCACATGCACTACGCTCCTCTCCTTCCTACTGCAAAAAACGAAATATAAAGCCCTGAACTGCAAAAATTCAATTCATAGGCGCCTTAGACGTTGGGTTCCTATTTCGATAGCTGATATAGAAAAAAAATTAACTGCAGGCTCTCATTTAAGCGGCACAATGTTTTATCAAGAACAACTGAGCAAATTTCATCGCAAATTCACGTACGTCGCATCTGTAAAATCTTAAAGCTAGATCCACTTATTCGAAGACTAAACTCTCAACCAACATGTTAAAACATATATCAATGCTTAATCTCAAGAATTTCAAACTCAAGCCAAGCGATACTACATTGCAAACAGGCAATAAACTATCAAATCAGAATCACACAAAAGTACCAAAGGGCATAGAAATAACAAGTAGGAACATTTTTAAAAATTACAAAAGTGCTATTCGTTTTGTGATAAAAGATGTGGGTGTTATAAATGTAAGAAAAAACAGAGTGTAGGTGTTAGATGTGTAAACATATAGGAATTGGGATGTAAGTGGCCCAAAATTTTATATTGTACAGGACTTTCATGTGAAATGTTTTCTAACCAAGTCAATAGCTTTCGTGTTGGCTAGGCTTTGTAATAGATTTGTTGCTTCTGCGTTTCTGCTGGCAAGTTTTTATGTCTATATCTTGATCTACATTGACTTACGGAGCATTTATTTTTCAAAAAGAATATATATATAAAAAACGGCCCTTC